CTCCAAGCCAATTGTGCTCAGACGCCTACTTCCAACCCAGAATTCCTGTAAACTCCAATTTTGAGTGTCAAACTGCCTCAGTAGGGCCTTCATCTGGATTTCTTGATTTGCCAAATCAAAATGGCCCCCCAAAACACCCCCTCCTCCAATCATTCTTCCCCATCTCAGAAACATGCAACCTCCATTTTAAAATATATTTTTATTTATTTTAAAATATTTATTTATTTATTTATGCATATAAGAGCTGGGATATAGGCCAGAGGTTCCAGGGTTGTGTGTGTGGGTGTTGGTGGTGGTGAGAGGATTCACCAGATAAGGATTCACCAGGAAACAGAACAGGTCCATCTACTGAAATACACTGCTGAGGGGAGCAGCAGGGAGACAGGAGAGGTCTTCTACACCCTGTAGGTAACCTCCCTGGCTGGGGATCGAACTCTTACTGCAGTGGCTACAGCTAGATTCATAGTGTGCCACCAGAGAGGCCTCCTATTTATTTTTTGTGTGGAACTGAGATATAGGCCAAAGATGCAGTTGGTGAAAGGACAGAGTAGGAAACAGAGCAAGCAGATCTATTGAAATACCCTGCTGAGGGGAACAGCAGAAGAGACAGGAAAGGTCTGCTGGGCCCTGTGGATCAGCTCCCTGGCCGGAGATCGAACTCAGGCCATAGTTGTGATAGTGCTGAGCCTTAACTCCTAGGTCACTAGGGAGGTCCCCTGAAATACATCTTGTTTTTAAAGGATAACTTAATTAGGAAAAGGAGAAAGAAATTGAGAGACACTGTATGGTTACACGTGGGCAAGAGAGCTGCCTGGAATGTCCTTGCTAAAATAACCTGAGTGCACATACAGTTGATTGAGCCCCATAATCTGTAGAACCCCTACAGACATACAATGGCATGACTGATACAAACCCCCATGGACAGTGTGGCTCTCATTGGACAGTATAAACTCCAGACAGCCCAATGCTCCAAAGCAATGTGAACCCCAAACCATGATCATATATAAGCCTATATAATCAGGTGAACCCAGAATTGAGTTTCCATACATACAATGCAAGCTTCATAAAGTCTGCGAACCCTATGTAACAGGTCAACCCACACAAATGGTGTGAACCTCAGGCAGGAGTATGACCTTCATAAACAGGGTTGACTCCCATATCCTAGGTCAACCCTGCATGTACAGTGTAGATGATCCTATATGTGAGGTCTCCTTCATGAGCAGTGCCTCCTTGTGAACAGTGTGGTGTCAGAGTCAACGTGGCCTCACACAGCAGCACTGTGAACAAGTTCCCCACCCTGCCCCTGCCACACACAAGGCTGCCTGCCTTGGTGGATTGTCCTGTGAACAGTGTGGACTCACCAGCGGATGTCACCATGCCAGGTTCATTAAATTGTGAACCTGGTTCCCAGAACCAGAGAGAAACCCCATTTAAACCCTCTCAGCCAAGGTAACCTTTATAAATTATCCCCTGACCGTAAACATCACTCAGCTCTCTTTCAACACACGTAGGTTAAAACTATCTGACACCTATCATGGACAATAAGATCTCAGATAAAAGTGAAAAATGGTGGCTTTCTGAATAGGAGGGATCTTTGAGGGCCGAAGGAAGGAGGGGCACCCATTAATTGAGGATGTAATATATGCAAACCTCAGAATTCAGCATCTCACAGCATCTATATCTCAGCTTCTTGAGGTAAGTACTCCAGTCACCTTCACATTTCAGATGAGGAAAGTGAGGCTGTAAGAGGTTATAGGCCCAAGGTTATTACATAGCTGAAGTCATTACAGCTGGAACATCAAGTGCTGGACTGTGATGCCTCCAGATGTACTGATAAATGTGCCACAGATATGCTGGATTCTGGAATCCTTCTAAAAGCACCCATGACTCCATCACAGCTGGTACAAACTAACGACAGACTACCATCACAGGTAAGGTTGTGACAGCGTGCACTCACCAGGAAGCTTTCAGAGTAAGAATCACAACTTTTGAGGATTTATTCTCCTGGAGACTCTGTCTTAATGTTTCACCTATGTTAACTCTGTACATCATCTTTACCTAATGCTACGGGTTTCTTTTGAACTATACCTTACAGAATGAAAAATCAACGCACGGAGGGATTAAGTGATTTACCTCAGGTCATACTGCTAGGAAGAAGCTCATCTGGGATTTGACCACACTAGCCTGTGCAACATCACCCCCACACTCCAGGACAATGTTATTTCAATGAATTGTGTAACTAAGTTGCTTTCATTTTATGTAATTCTCTCCAGGGCAAGGTACAACTCCCTGTACACACCTTTTCTCCATGTGAGAAGGCCTTGGACAGTGTGAATACCCACAGATGGGTGTCCTTCATGCATGGTGGAACTCCAGTAAGCACTGGGGATCCCTCTGTGGACATTATACACACATCATGGCCTGAAAGAACCCTGACCCACAGCAAAGACCACCTTTCATTATAGCAGGATGCTGTCTGGGCAGGGTGAGCTCAGTCAGCCTTTCCTTGCACCTAGTACCAACTGTGGAACAAGAGACACCAGCCAAATCAGTGGAAATCTTCCACCATCAATGCACACCTCGATGGGCCATGTGAACTGCTGCACAGTATGAGCCTTCTGGGGATAGTACAATCTCTTTCATGTCCATGACAAGGTTAATATGGACACGCACAGCTCCATGGGGGAGAGGACTTTTGGTGCATGTTGTGAACCTCTTCTCCCTGAGTCTGCTGAAGAAGGTCATGTGACCCTCTGATGCATGGAAACTTCCCTGAGACCCCACATCTGCCCAATATGCACAGTATAAACTGCCCTGTCAAATTTCTTTCAACTCCAGGGCCCGCCCATTCAACATGGAAGTGTGAACTCTCTTTTAGAATCTCAAAGACAGGACCTTACCTGGTGACACAAGTGATTAAGGCACAGCACTATGAAGCTATCTGCACGAGTTCGATCCCCAGCCAGGAAAATGACCCACATGGTGCAGCAGACCTCTCCTGTCTGGCCTGCTGCTCCCCTCAGCAATGTATTTCAGTCAATCTGCCTGCTCTGCTCCCCACTCAGTCTGTTGGATCCTCTTGTATGCATAAATTAAATCTTTAAAAGAAAGCAAAAAAGGAATCTCGAAGACAGTAATTAGCATGTGACCATAGAAACTTTAATAGTGTAAGTAGTTGTGCAACTGTGAAGTCCTTGTAGACCATGAAATATCCCCCCAGTCTCATCGTATAACTTCTGTAGATGGTGGGGCCTGCTCCCCCCACCCACCCCGCGATAATCTGAATCTCTCATTCTCAGGGAACCTCAATGGACAACTTTATTTCTTTGGAAATATTCGCCACCTGGCCAGATGCTATACCACCCTCTCACAAGTAGTGCAAATATCACAGGGACAGTATGGATAGGCAGCAGACTGGGTCCACTTTACTTCACAAGTGGGGCGATCCCATTTGGCTACTGGGAACCTATTACAAGTAGCAGACGCCTCCCCTACAGCAGTTTTTACTGCCCCCCGTTACGCTCTATGGGGGCAAATCCACTGTGGAGAGGAGGGACGCTCGCAGGCGTGTTCACAGCTAGTGTAAACTCCACAGCTGATCAGCAGGAATCTAGTGACAGGGCATAACACTTTCCTCTTCATCCCCAGTGTGAACCTTAAAATAATCTCGCTCCTGCCGGGTGTGAACACCCACAAAATGTAGCTCTCTATGGAATGCAGCGTGAAACCCACAAATGCAGGTCTGCATTTCGTGCCCCCCTCCTTCAAGCCTAAGGGGGCTGTCAGAAAACTGCGCCGCCCTATATGTCAAAGTTTGGGAGGAGGTCAATGACAACCCGCCCCCCCCCCGCCACCTCCCCCGCCCAGGGTCCCCAAGCCACAGGCCGCGCGCGAACTCCACTGCAGCGCGCACCACCCCACATGCGCGTTCTCTCCCCTCCCGGTGGCAACAGGGCTTTCCGCGGGGCCGCGCCAGACTTTCCGAGGCTGTTGATTGGTTGTAGTCGCGGCCACCCGACAGCCAATCAAGCGGGGGAAAGGTGACATCACTCGTTCGCGTCCCCTCCCCCCCCAAACTTCCCTACTCCCGGCTACCGGCAGCAACAACCACGTGGGGGAGGGGTAAGAGAGTAGAACCCGGTGAGGTCATTGCGCCGCCCCAGCTGCAGATGATTGGCTACAAAGCTCGCGGGTGGCGGTTGGCTGCTCCTTGCACCTCCCCCTCCTGCCGCTACCGCCGCCACTAAGAGGAGCCACCGGCGACGCCAGAACCGGGAATCCGGGTGAGTTGGGGCCCTGGGTCTAAGATGCTTCTGGTGTTCACTGAGACTCACGAGGAACTGCCCTTTCCGACTTTTTCTCCTCTCCCGGGTTCTTTGGTGTTCCAGGTACTCTGTTACATGGGAGTTGTAGTCTGCCTTGTACTATCTACTATGGGCCGGAGACGTAAGAAGACTACCGTTCCCAGCAGGCATTGCGACTACCCCGTCAACAAACTCTAAAGCCACGCCTCCTAGGCCTGCTCATTGGAAGAACCAGCCCTTAGTCCCACCCCCTTGCAGTTCATTGGTTACTGTCCCTCACAAAGGTTGGGTTCCGGCGTAGGGTGCATGACGATTAGGTACTGTAGTCGTCAATCGGCACTAAGACGGACTGCAATTGGTTAATGCTGGTGTCCATCATTTGATGTGGGGCAGGGTCCTAGATTGATCAGGCGGTCGTAGGCTTAGGTTGGTGTTGGTCCCAGAGGGAGGCCTGTCTTGGACCTTGGCCCCTCCCACTAGCGCTGCCGGATGGGCGCGATTGGTGTTGATGAGCGTCGCTCCTTTACGAGAGGCGGAGTCTACCTGGCTTCGAATATCTATTGGCCTAGAATGGCGCCGGTCAGCGGGGTTGTGGCCGCTGATTGGCTGGCTGCTCCAGCTGTTGCAGGTCCATTCACCATTTTGTGTGTTGGAGTAAAAAAAAAGGGAGAATCGAGAGGGAGAGCCGGAGGGGGGGCGGGGAGGGACCGGACCGGACCGAGCCGGGGCCACGGCCCCCCGCCCCGAAACCCCGCTGAGCCCGAGGTGAGGGGCGGGGCCAGAGTTGACATGAGCTGGAGGTTTTGGGGTGCTGGGGGGGACGAGAGGGGACAGGTGGCAGAGACGGGTAGGGGGGACAGGGAAAAAGGGTAGGTGGGATGGGATGGGTAGGGGGACAGAGTGGAGGAAGTATTGGGGAGGAAGGGTGACGAAAAGAGATGACGGGACAAAGAATGGATAACAGGAATGGAGGGGTGACAGGACTAGATCAGGGTGACAGAGAGAGGGAGGGGACAGAGTTGGAGGGGGTGACATGGAGAGGTGATGAGGAGAGAAGGTGACAGGTCCGGAGATGGCTGACAGGAAAGTGACTAGGAGGAAGAGATGGCAGAGGTAGAAGAGAGTGACAGGGAGCCGGTTACTGAGGAGGGGGCCGGTGAGGAGAGAGGTGCAGATAGAGGTGGTGATAGGATGAGAGAAAGTGGCAGAGAAACCGGTGCCAGGAGCAGAGAGCATGAGACCCTGGAGAGCCAGGGTCCGTGCTGACCTGGGCTTCATGAGTTACTGCTCAGATTCTCAGGGAGGTGAGGGCCCATGGGCCTTGGGTGGGAGTTGCTTAGAGCCTGGTGTACAGGAAGAGTAGGCCCCAGGGGAAAGGAAAAGACGGGGCTACTGAGGAGAAGAGGCCGGTCCAGGCAACAGGGTGCAAGGGTGCCAGGCATTGTGGTTGTAGGCCCTGGGTGGGGAATGCAAAGGTTTGTGTTTGGGCAGGACTGGGGCCAGCTCAGTCCCCAGGACGGTGGCCCAGCAGGTCAGTGAGAAGAAGGTGGTGGCGACTGCTCAGCACTTGCTTGCTGCTCCAGTGTGAGAAGCCTCTGGCCCTCCGGCACTGTCTGTAAAGACCCCAGGATTGGCCCAGAGGAGGACAGGCTGAGGACGGCTGAGTCCCCAGGGGGAGCCGACCAAGCAGGAGAGCATGAGGTCAGGGGTCCTGTGGCAGCCAGAAGACTGAGTCAGGGGTGCTTATGATTGTCTTTGGCTCTCCAGCCCTGGGACCCTCCCCCTCTTCTCCCTCCTAGGGGCTTCCATTTGGCCTCTCAGGTTGTCTTAGTCACTTCAGAGTAAAGTTTTTTCCCCTTTCTTTTCTCAGGGCAGCTTGAAAGGGGGCGGGCAGTAATGACTGTTCAGGAAGTGGGTGAGGTTGGCCTCCTGGGCTTGTCCTGCTTTCTTTGACCTTCTCCCACTTAGCCCCACCTGGAGTTGGAGGGCATATTTAGGGGTTGGGGGCCCAGCAGCACAGCCACCCTGCCAAAGCCAGCTCAGTCAGGGCGGGGATGCATGCAAGCCAGAGGGGGGGCTGGGGTTTGTGTGTCTCACGCTGGGTGCTGTGGGAGGAGGGGCAGGCTCCTATCCAGTGGGACAGTGAAACCCTGGGGTGTAGTTCTGTGCCCCACTGTGTGATGACGTGTGTGTCTGTGTGTGTGTGTTTGTGCGCGTGCGTGTGCTCATGCACGGCCCTGTGGCAGCGCTGGGTATGAGCTCTTGCCCCAGACGTGCCCCTGCCTGCTCCCTGTGAGGCTCTCAGGAGATGGCTTTACCTGGCAGGCCCAGGGTGCAGAGCACAGTGGGCAGCTGTCCCTTGGGACTCTCGGCTGCCCGTTCCTTCCCACAATGCCTGGCCATGCCAGGCTGCCAAGAAGAGTGGGGGGAGGTGGCTCACCTCACCTCCCTGTCACCTCCCTTTCTGACCGTATGTCTGTGAGTGTGTGTGTGTGTGTGTGTGTGTACTTTCTGGACTGTGACAGTGCAAGGAAGTGTGCCTTCTGGATCATGTGACAGGTGGCAAACTGACAGGGTTAGGAGCACAGACTGCAGCCAGATTGCCTGGGTTCAGATCCTAGTGCTACCATTTCCTAGCTGGGTGAATTTGGACGAGTTGCTTGATCTCTCTGTGCCTATTTTCTCAAGCGTAAAATGGAACTGATAGTAGCACCTGCCTCTCAAGACTGTTGGGAGGGTGAGATGAGTTAATAAAGGCATGTGGTCAGGGCTTGGCACAAAGGGGGTGCTCCTTAGGTATGACCTGTTTCTGCTTCTTGGTTCCCCTTTGAGCAGCCTGAGTGTATGCCTGTGCCTGCTGTGTGCTTTGTGGTGGGAACAGATGGATATGTGTCCCAAGGGGCTAACTCAGGGGTTATGAGTGCCAGTCTAGGTCTGGGTGATGTCCAGGGCCAGCCTGGAGGAGGCTGGCCTTGGCGGGGGGGGGGGGGGGGGTGTCATGGGGCTGAGCAAGTGGGAAGTCTTGGAAGGTACAAGCATCTGGAAGTGTTCCTGATCTGCTCGTGATAATCCCTGCCTGCCTTCTCTCCATGCAGGTGGACAAAAGATGAAGCCAATGAAGAAGGTATGCCCTGGCCTCCCAGGTTCTGGCAGTGGCGGCAAATCCCCACCAGCCACCAGGGCCAAGGCCCTGAGGCGGCGAGGTGCTGAGGAAGGTGACAAGCCAGAGGAGGACGACGATGAGGCACAACAACAGCAACAGCAGCAGCAGCAGCCAGGGCCAGAAGAGGCTGAGGAAGGTGAGGAGGAGGAGGCCGAGAGGGGCCCTAGGGCTGAGGGGCTGCCCGTGGAACTGCACCCTGATGGCCCAGCCCCAGGCCCAACTGAGGACCCCAAGGTAGAGGGGGAGGGAGGCCGCTGGGAGCCCTCACTCAGCCGAAAGACTGCCACGTTCAAGTCACGAGCACCCAAGAAGAAGTATGTGGAGGAGCACGGGGCTGGCAATGGCAATGGTGGGGCAGCTGGGGGCTCTGAAGAGCGCCCGAGGACCCCAGAGGAGGCCGGTACCCTAGCTGTGCCTCCTCGGCCACCTACATCTACCCGCTCCTCCTCCACTGACACAGCCAGTGAGCACTCAGCCGACTTGGAGGATGAGCCGGCCGAAGCGTGCGGGCCAGGCCCCTGGCCCCCTGGCAGCGCCGGTGCTGGCTATGACCTGCGGCAGCTGCGGTCCCAGCGTGTGCTGGCTCGGCGTGGGGACGGCCTCTTCCTGCCGGCTGTGGTGCGCCAGGTGCGCCGAAGCCAGGACCTGGGTGTGCAGTTCCCTGGAGACCGGGCCCTGACTTTCTACGAGGGGGTACCCGGCAGTGGTGTGGATGTGGTTTTGGATGCCACGCCACCACCAGGTGCGCTGGCGGTGGGCACAGCCGTCTGTACCTGTGTGGAGCCTGGAGTGGCTGCCTACCGTGAGGGTGTGGTGGTGGAGGTGGCCACCAAGCCAGCAGCCTACAAGGTCCGCCTCAGCCCTGGCCCCAGCTCCCAGCCGGGCCCAGCAGCCTCCACCCCACAGCCCCCACAGCCGCCACACTGCGAGACTGAGGAGGCCGTGTGGGTGGCCCGCTCCAGCCTGCGCCTGTTGCGGCCCCCCTGGGAACCTGAAGCCCTGCCGAGGAAGCCCCCTACTGGGCCCGAGGAGGAGCAGGCTGAACCAGGGGCCCCACTGCCCCCCTGCCCTGTAGCCCTGGACCCTAAGCAGCCTGAGGATGCCGAGGTCTCCAAGATCAGCTTCGGTGGCAACCTGGGGGCTTGTGAAGAGAGTGAAGAGAAGCACCCTCCAGCCTTGGGCACCCCAGCCCTGCTGCCACTGCCCCCACCCCAGCTCCTGTCACCTCCACCCAAGTCCCCAGCCTTCGCAGGCCCTGGTCGCCCCGGGGAGCAGCCCTCACCCTGCCAGGAGGGGAGCCAGGGCGGCAGCCGTAGCAGCAGCGTGGCCTCTTTGGAGAAGGGGGCCGCGCCGGCTGCCCGGGCCCGTACACCACTGACAGCTGCACAGCAGAAGTACAAGAAGGGGGACGTGGTCTGCACGCCCAATGGCATCCGCAAGAAATTCAACGGCAAGCAGTGGCGACGGCTGTGCTCGCGGGATGGCTGCATGAAGGAGTCCCAGCGGCGGGGCTACTGCTCGCGCCACCTGTCCATGCGGACCAAGGAGATGGAGGGTCTGGCGGACAGCGGCCCCGGTGGGACCGGGCGGCCCGCCGGGGTGGCAGCCCGCGAGGGCAGCACTGAGTTTGACTGGGGTGATGAGACATCGAGGGACAGCGAGGCCAGCAGTGTGGCTGCCCGCGGTGACTCTCGCCCACGCCTGGTGGCCCCTGCGGACCTGTCCCGCTTTGAGTTCGATGAGTGTGAGGCGGCTGTGATGCTGGTGTCTCTGGGCAGCTCACGCTCGGGCACACCCTCCTTCTCCCCGGTGTCTACACAGTCCCCCTTCTCGCCGGCCCCGTCCCCTTCCCCCTCACCACTCTTTGGCTTCCGTCCCGCCAACTTCAGCCCCATCAACGCCTCTCCAGTCATCCAGCGCACTGCTGTTCGAAGTCGTCACCTGAGCGCCAGCACCCCTAAGGCAGGTGTGCTGACGCCACCAGACCTGGGCCCCCACCCGCCGCCACCTGCCCCCCGAGAGCGCCATTCCTCCGGCATCCTACCCACCTTCCAGACCAACCTGACTTTCACCGTGCCCATCAGCCCTGGGCGGCGGAAGACAGAGCTGCTGCCCCACCCAGGCACTTTGGGGGCTACTGGCACAGGGGGTGGAGGAGCTGCCCCAGACTTCCCTAAGAGTGACAGCCTGGACTCTGGCGTGGACTCGGTGTCCCACACACCTACACCCTCCACACCGGCTGGCTTCCGGTCCGTGTCGCCTGCCGTGCCCTTCTCCCGATCCCGCCAACCCTCACCATTGCTGCTGTTGCCCCCTCCTGCCGGCTTGACCTCCGACCCCGGGCCCTCCGTGCGCAGGGTGCCTGCTGTGCAGCGGGACTCACCTGTCATTGTCCGCAACCCTGACGTTCCACTGCCTTCCAAGTTCCCTGGGGAGGTGGGCACTGCCAGTGAGGCACGGGCTGGGGTACCCGGGCGGGGCTGCCGAGAGACTCCGGTACCCCCAGGCGTGGCCAGTGGGAAGCCTGGCCTGCCCCCACCTTTGTCGGCCCCTGTGCCCATCACCGTGCCTCCAGCTGCGCCAACAGCAGTGGCCCAGCCGATGCCCACCTTTGGCCTGGCTTCCTCGCCCTTTCAGCCGGTGGCCTTCCACCCTTCACCTGCTGCCCTGTTGCCCGTCCTGGTGCCCAGCAGCTATACCAGCCATCCTGCCCCCAAGAAGGAAGTCATCATGGGCCGCCCTGGGACAGGTAAGAGGTGCAGGTGGATGGGCTGGGTGAGGGCGCCCTGTGAACAGGGCTGCTTCAGACTGGCTTCTCAGGAGGTGAGCCCTCACCTCCAGAGGGGGTCCAGGGGAGGCTTGCCTCCTTGGCACAGAGGTGGTGAAATTTATGTGCCAGGTAGAGGACTGGACTTTTGAAGGCTTAAGGGAAATGTTTTCCTTAAGAGGCTTCCAGTTGGGTACACGCTTGAGACCTTTCCCGAGCTCAGGCTTGGAGCCAGGCCCCCACAGAGCTGATGAGACAGACAATCATCACCATGGCAGCTCCCATGTCCAGAAGGCTGGCAGGGCACCGCTGTGATAAGCACCTTGCGTGGCTTATCTCGCAGCCGGCCACATACCCGGCCTGCTCTAAACCCCCTTCAAATGTTAGCCCGTTTAGTCTTCACAACCGGCCTAATAGACGGCTGCGCAATTATGCTGGTTTAGAAGAAACTGAGGCCAGGTTAGTAATTTGCCCAGGGTCACGCGGTTAGTGCATCCTGGAACTAGCTTTCCAATCCAGACAGGTTGGCTTGTGACTACTCAGTCACAGTGCCAGGTTACTGATGGGAGGACAAGGGGCCAACAGGTCGTCCCACTGGGAGGACTGAGCCTCACTATTACCACTGGACCCAGTAAACCTCCCAGTGCCTCCAGGTGTGAATCTAATCTAGCTGTCCTCGGGACAGGGTGTGTAAGCCCACATTTGAAGGTGGGATTCAGCAGCTACGGAGCTGAAGGGCTTCTCGGGGAGGCCTACGGAAAGACTGAGGATGGAGCACAACGAGCAGAGGGGACGGAAGGCCAGTGTTGCTGGGGGGCTGAGGCTAGGGGCCAGGACGGCACTTTGAGATGGTGTTGGGCCATCAGGAGCCTGGGCTGGGCTGGGCTGGGCTGGGCCGTGTCAGAGCAAGTCTTGGGAGGGTCACAGTCCTGTCTCTAGCCCGCCCCAGACGCAAGTCTGTGAATGACAGTCCTCTATGAGCCTGTGCTGGTGGGTGCTGAGGACACAGCCCTGATCTCACAGGTCTCAACGGTCCCTGCAATAGACAGAGCTTCTTCAGCAGAGTTCTCATGACTGGGCTGGAGAAACCCATGAGGCCATGGGAAGTGAGGTAGGGCTTTCTGGAGAAGGTTACTTTTTTTTTTTTTTTTTTAAGATTTATTTATGCATACAGAACTGGGGTACAGGCCAGAGGTACAGGGGTGGTGAGAGGATTCATCATAGACGGAGTGGGGAGCAGAACAGGCCGACTGACGAAGTTCACTGCTCAGGGGAGCAGCGGGCGAGACAGGAGAGGTCTGCTGCGCCATGTGGGTCACCTCCTTGGTGGGGATCAAACTTGTGCTGAAGCAGTGCTGTGGCTAGCTTCACAGTGCTGCACTCTAACGCCTTGTACCACCAGGGAGGGCCCAGGTATGAACTTTTTATGAGACCTGAGGGGATATGGAAGCGAGCCCAGCAAGGCAGGCAGAGGGAAGAGTTTATGCAGAGGCCTTGAGGTGAAAGCCAGTAGTTGAAGGAAGCTGAGTCTGAGAAGTCTGGGCTCTAGAGGGCGAGTGATAGGATGCGAGACCATTGGTGGCCAAGGGTCAGATCACAGAGAGCCCTATAAGACTTGTGAACTTTGTCCTGAGGCACTAGGTAGCTGTGGAAGGTTGACAGCTGTACTGAGGGTGAGTTCTAGTTCCTGAGACCAGAAGGGAAGGGGGCCAGAGTGTGGATCTGGTATGGACTGTGACTTGAACTTGGGAAGACATTATTATTACAGGAAGGAACCCTGGGTCCTGCCCTCAAGGAAATACAGTCCAGACCCAGGGTACAGGGCCACACGTTCATAGACTGAGCTGTGATTTTTGCCCTGTTTTCAGCATTTTTTAACGTTTGTTATTATAGTTGATGTGAGCAAAATTCCATAGCAATGGGCACAGCACGGATTTCTGTCCTTTGACAGATGAAAAACCTGAAGCAGGAGGACTCTAACTATTCCCATCTCCACATGCTTACATTGCCCCGGCCATCACCGGCGCTGCACTCTCTCACTTGACCCTCTCTGCTACCACACGGGGAAGGGATGTACCTGATACAAGTGACCTGATGCCTAGCAGGGTAGGCCCGGTCCATTTTCCAGGTGAGGCAAAGTAAGGCCCCGACAGAAGTCCTGCTTGAGGTCATCCTACTAGAAGAGACTGGGCTTCCATCCAGGTCCTCACAAGACTCGTGCTGCCAGAAGTTGCCGTAATGATGACTACTGAGTTCCAGGCTGCATGTGCCTGGTACACAGCTCAGCCTGTGCTGACTGAACGTGAACACTGAATCCTCAATGCCCCAGGAGGTCAACACGAACACTAGTTCCAGTGTAGCCCCAGAGGGTATGGGACTTGCCCAAGGTCACCCAGTTAGCAAGAGGGAGAGGCAGCTTTTGCACTGAGGTTGTCTGGCTCCAGAGCCGGGTCTTGTAAGCACTCCCAATGATAATGATGATAATAATAGTAACCACTCTTGACTGAACATTTACCCTGTGCCCAGCCCCAAGCCTGGGGCCAGATCATCAAACCCACCCATGTTGTGAAGTAGGAATCACCAGCCCTGTTGTGTGTGAGCGGGCCGGGGGTGCTGAGATTCAAGAAAGGGAGGCCCCTTGCTGGAGGCTGCCTGGTCGTCAGAACTTGCCCAGTGCCTGTCCTGGCGGTTCTGAGCAGCGCCTCCCTGACAACACCCATGCTGAGGTATCTGGGCTGCCCTCATATTCCCAGCTAGCAGGCCCTTTTGTTCTTTGCCCTAAGGCCTCCCTAAACCCTTGGGAGTTAGGCACCTTGGGGCCTCTCTCTGAGGCCCGGATAGGGTAGATAGTACCCTGTGGCAGATTGAGGCCATAGTCCCATCAACCCGCCTGCCCATGCAAGGGCCTGACCCTTGTTCAGAGGGCAGCAGGTGTGAGGGGGTGGCCTGGGGCAGCCTGCTTGCTCCTGCCCCCCACCAGGCATTTGCTTCCGCTGGGGGACATGCCGGGGCAGGCAGCCCGCATTCTCCACATTCTATGCATGGCCCAGCCAGCCAGCTGCCATTGCCACCTCCCTCTGACTTCCCACCGGCTCCCCAGGAGAGGAAGCTTTCCCAGGCCTGCAATCCAACCAGATGTCTCAGCCCCCCCTTCCTGGCATGGCCTCCCTTCCAGCTCTCAGCTTGCTGCCTGGTTTCCTTGTATTGACAGGCAGTGTCCCTGCTCCTCGGCCTTGCCCAACTGCCTGTCTTTGAGCTACTGTATGCTTTTCAGTGTCTCCCTTGGGCTTGACTCTGTGTCTGTGTAGGTCTCTATTTCTAGGCCTGAAACTCTCTGGACTTTTGTCTGACTCTTACTGAATCTGGCTCTATTTATCATTCCTGGTTTGTTCCTCCCTGGGTATCAGTCCTTGTCTCAGCTTTCACCCTACCTTCTTTGGCTTAGGTCCCTTTTCTGTGTCTTTGGGCCAGCCTTTGCCTCTCCCCTGACCCTTCTCCTGTTCTTCTTCTTTTATTTTTAAGATTTATTTAAATTTTTATTTATGCATATAAGAATTGGGGTGTAGGCCAGAGGTGCAGTGGGTGAGAGGATTCACCAGAAACAGAGTGGGGAGCAGAACACGCAGATCCAATGAAATGCCCTGCTGAGGGCAACAGCGGTTGGGGGGAGGTGGCAGGAGAGGTCTGCCACGCCATGTGGGTCAGCTCCTTGACCTGGGATTGAACTCATGCTGCAGTGACTGCTGATAGCTTGATGGTGCTGAGACTTTAACCTGCGCCACCGGGGAGGTGCCCTGCCTCCCCTTCTTTAGACAGACCTGCCCCTGTTCTAGACCCCTACCTCCTGCACATCAGTTGCTCTGCTCCTTTAACTCAGTGACAGTTGCTAAGCATTGGGCCAGTACTCACTTCTTGGGGAGCTTTGGGAACCCCCTTTGCTCCTGAACAAGTTAAATGCCTGCTACTGTTCCTGAAGGCTGCTAAGAGGTATTGGGAGCCATCCTGCAGACCCATCTACAGCCAAGCACCTGTTTCCAAGACAAGCAGGAAGGCGGGGGCTGTGTAGGCCAAGCTGAGAGATCTGGCTGTGGGAGAGAAGCAGGAAAGCAGCTCTTGTGCCCACCCACCTGCTAGAGGGCATGACCCAGGCCACCCTACACCCCTCTCCCACTGCCTTTCAGGAGACACATTTGGTGCCAGTTTCATTTAACTGAGTCCGTCACGTGATCCACCCCCAAGGTCGTCAGAGACCAGGTGGTACCCTCCCACTATTGTCCGGCAGGTGGGAAAAATGAGGCTATAGGAGGAACTGAGGGTCTCCTGACACTTCAAACCTAGATCCCGATTCTGCCCACCAGAATTTCCATTTTTGTCTCAAACAATGTACCCTATTCCTGCCACCAGAAGTCCTCACCAGGCCCAGGGTGAGTTGTCCTGCCCCAGGGTAAGTGGGTAGAGAGGTGTGTACATGTGGATGCAGGCACAGGCAAGGATGATCTGCCACAGGTAGGGTCTGGGGAAGCAGAGCTCAGTGGGGGTGCAGTCAGGTAGGTTCAGGTAGGATTTACTTGAAGGGAACTTATGAGCTGAAGCACAGGGCATGAGTGGATTTCAGGGCATCCAAAGAAAGGGAAGGGCGAATTAGGTCAAAGTAGCCACAGGAGCAAAGGCCAAAAGGGGTGGAAGTGTATGATCTCTGAGTGGCCAGTTGAGGCTGGAGCTGACACTAGAGTTTAGGATAGGTGGGAGGGTGCCAAGGAGGACAGGTCCAGCCAGGCGAAACTCGAATGCCAACCAGTGAGGAGTCAAGAGTTTAGAGCAGGGCAGGGAAAAGGCAAAGATCCCTGAGCCTTCTCTGGAGAGGAAGGACGTCTAGGTTCCGAAAAAGAGGTCGACTTGCGGCAAGGAGAGGAAAGGAGGAGCGTTTGTGAGATAGCTAAGAGGTGAGACTTTCCGGAAGGATCCTCCAGCTACCCTAGCTT